TATGAGGAAGCTAAAAATGCTAATCTTGTTTAAACTCCTGCCTATACTACACCTGTCAAATGTAATGTCTCTCTTCAGAACAAACCCTATCAGGCTATTATTGATAGTGGTGCTTCAATTAGCATGATTGCCCACAAGACAGTTAAGAAACTTGGATTGACTATTGAAAAGACCTCTAATAGCCTTATAGTTCCTGCAGTTGGAATCTCTACCCGACCTTTAGGAATTATAAAAGATTTACTAGTTAAAATTGATCACATTACTATCTCTCTTACCATGCACTACCTCCTACTCTCTTCTCTTAAGAAATGACTGGAATCAGAAGGTCGAAGAAAACTACAACTGGAAAAATGGCTGTTATACTTTTAAGTGAGAAAACAAGAAACACACTATCCCTACTACTTATGAAAGTAACCAACCTTACCTAGCCAACCCACTGTTACTGCACCAGATAAATTAGACCTCTATAAACCAGAATACTTATATCCTCGAGAAGCCTATGCTTTTGATCAAGAAGACTCAGACCAATCTCCCTCTCTAGAAGAGAATGAATGGACTACTTATCAATCTCATTGTAGAACTAGGAAAGCCCCTAAGCAGCATGTCTGTAGAAATTGTGGTTCTCCTGACCACCTATTTGCAAATTGTCCTACCAACCAATGTAACCGATGCCAGGAATTTGGTCATATTGCTGTTAAATGTTCTAAACAAGCCCCAAAGCGTTCTACCTGCTCTATCTGCAATGACTCCAACCATTTATATAGAGACTGTCCCAACAATGTCTGCAGAAGATGCAGTACATTAGGCCATATCGAAGCTTATTGTCCTCTTGCTATTTGGAAAAGACAAAACCTGGTTTATCAGTATAGATGTACTCTTGATCAGGTCGATGGTAATCGTCTACCTACACATAGCTTTTGCCAAACCCACTATTGTTGTCAATGTAAAGTCCCTAACAGGCTTGAAGTCCTTAAACTTCTTGAAGAAAAACTTGTATACCCTGGATGCTATACCGACTTCTACTGTGCTTTAGACCGAGATGACCCTAGAAGTGTCCATTTCTTTACTCAAGGTAAAGGACATGGAATGCTTGTTAATTGCAAAGTATGTAATAAGTTAGACACTAGACCTAAAATGTGTCAATTAGACAGTCTTCAAGAAGAATTATGGGTTTGTAAATTGAATATCTTTATGCATACAAGGCTAGCCAGGACATCCAGTATAACTCTAACTATAACTTTTGGACCCAAATCAAATGGTATACTGAGTTAACAAAGAATACCAGACACCAATATGAAATTAACCAGGATTATACAAGATATCATCCAGCCTTGTGGACCGTTGACTCAAATAACTATTCCTTCATACACTGGGATAATCTACCAAGAGAAGTTACAGAAAATTCTCAAACCAATTAAGACTCGTGTTTGAAACAGACTAGACCAAACCAAGCTGCTCGAAGCTTATTATCATCTTGGTGATCTTATAGAAAAGTACCCTGATGCTCACAAAGATATTTGATCTACCATTGGGAAGACTCAAGGAGAAAGAAGAGCCCGAGACACATGGAAGTATGCCCAACAGATAGAACTACTTTTCTCCAACTGACCTATAGAAAACATCTCCCAGACGACCTATATTACTTATACAATGATTACAAAGTTAACAGATAATAAACTTTCTCAAGTTCTTCCCCGAATTAGAAGCATGAAGTTCGTTCTTAAAGGAGAGAGAAATGTTATAGAATAAGTCTTGTAATTTTGATAAAAATTAGTTAAGAAACTAGAACTTAATAAGAAAATTTTGTAATAACTGTATTTAGTAATAGTGATAGGCAGAATTGATGTGCAATGATACTCAATGACGCTTAATGATGCTTAGCGACGCTTAATGACACTTAGCGATGCTTAGTGACGCTTAATGACGCTTAGTGACACTTAGTGATACTTAATGACGCTTAGCGACACTTAGCTCAATAGATATATAAACCCATCTTATTTCTCTTAGTTTTAGACAGATCCAGACATTGTATTTTATCTTTATCTTTATATTAATTACCCTCCTCTATATTTATTAATAAACTCTTGGTATTTCTAAGGAACAGACACCTTGGAATAGCCCTCTTGTTAAATTAATAAACTGTCTATTATCTCTTGTTGTTTTATACCGAACTGCCTTAGAGAAGTGTATAGTTTCTTACAGACATAAAAGAAACTATACTTCCCTCTTGCATACCGCTTCACGCCTAAAGTAAGAAATCTCAGAAGCTGTGTGATTGTTACCTTATCGAAATTAAATAAGGCTTCCAGTACTGTAACAAATTTATTAGGTAATATTTTAAGGGATGGGAGGCCAAGAAAAATCTTATCTTAGTTAAATTTGATTAGCTAAAATTCTATTTATAGATCTTATCTGGGATGGGGGTAAACCCCTATAGTAAATGAATATTAGATAATAAATATCAGCATCCTAACTAACTATACAATAATTTAAATAAATATATACTTTATTTAAAGGTAAAATATATTTTGTGTACCCCACACCATGGTGCAGAGTGCGGTGGGATATGATATCACAGTTACAGATTTGTTTATATTTTGGTTACACAGATTTACAAGATAAGTATAGATTTATTATTTATATTATTTTTTTCAGTTTTTTTTCTTTTTTACTAATCAGTTTACTTTTTTTTTAGAACCACCGTTTACTAATATCATCGCTCTTTGGAGTCATTGTTTCATTGGTATTGTCACAGTTTGGAGCTGTTATTTTGCTGGTGTTATCGTTATTGTTTGCTGTTGTCACACTTTGGAGTCACATTTTCTCTGGTATTGATACTGTTATTCTTTAGAGCTATCATTTTGCTGGTCTATCGTTTTATTTATATTATTTTTTTTAGTTCTTTTTTTTTTTTTACTAATCAGTTTACTTTTTTTTTAGAACTGCCGTTTACTAGTATCATCACTCTTTGGAATTGTTGTTTCGTTGAAGCTATCGTTTTGCCAGTATCTTCGTTATTGTTTTGCTATTATCGCACTTTGGAGCCACATTTTCTCTGGTATTCAGTATATAAAATCTATGTGTACAATGTGCTCATGTACACATGTTTTTAAAAAGTTTCTCATATTTTTGGCTAGAAATGTGCACAGAATTTACATACTTTTGGGCTAAATAGTAAACCAAAATTATTAGTAAAATTAGAAGTTGTGCACATAGAGCACATAGTGCATATAATTTATTGTATATATATTCAGATTTATCTATATAAATTTAATTATAACAAAACTATATAGTGCACAAGTTTTAAAATTGTTCATATAAATTATGTGTACAATATGTACAAGATTCATATACTTTTGGGATCAGATTTTATACACTGCTAGTATTAGTACTGTTGTTCTTTGGAGCCATTGTTTTGCTGGTGCTATTGTTCATTAAAATTGCTGTTTTATTGGTGCTGTCGTATTTTGGAATTGTACTAATGTTCTTTTTCTTTTTGGTGAATTTTGCTTGTCTTTATTTGGAAGTAGGCTTCAGGTTTGAGTGAGTATATTTGACTTTTTGTTTTCTTGCTTGTACTAATGTACTTCTTTTTTTTTTGTGAATTTCACTTCATTTTGGGATTGGGCTTCTAGTTTGGATGAGTATATTTCTTGTTTTTGTTATTTGGCTTTTTGTTTTTTGCTTGTACTAACATTCTTCTTTTCTTTTTTTGGTGATTTCTCTTGCCTTCATTTTGAAATTGGACCTTCGATTTGGGTAAGCATATTTCTTGCTATTTGGTTTTTTGTTTCTTGTTTTTGGATGTGCTACTAATGCTTGTTCTCTTTTTCTAGATTTTTTTAGGACACTTTGAACTCTTTTAGAAGTTGTTGGATGTATATCTTAGGAATTTGGAGTGTATTACAATACTTCATTTATTTTCTTGTTTTCTAGTTTGTGAATGTGTTAATAACGCTTTTTTTCTAGATTTTTTAGAGTGCTTTAAACTTTCTTGGGAATTGTGGAAGTATATTTTGAGAATTTGGAGTGTATTACACTGGTCGAAATTTTTTAATATAAAAGGCCGATATTTGGAGGATAGCTAGGTGAAACATCTAAAAACAAATATTCG